TTCTCATGAGCGGCTCCGTCAGGAAGCGGGTAATGGCCCTAGGGCCCACTGGTATCTAAGAAGAAGGAAAGAAATACAGAAAAGAACGGGACGAGAAGGAAGAAAGGTCTAGAGGAAAAAATGAAAACAGAGAAACGTGTTAAGAAAAACGGAACCTCCAAAAATGTAAGCTACATTTTTGGAGGGTCTAAACCAGTGGTATGCACCTAGACACTGAAAGGCAACATATGGAATCTACAAATATCTACAGCAAGACTAAAGATGCATATGGGAAAATAAACAATCAATATGGAAAATTGAAAACCACCTGGAAAGGCTACCAAAAGGCCAAAAGGCTTTGGAATGGCTCAAAGGCTTGAAACTAGGTTGGGTTGTGGAGGTGGGAGATGGCCAGGGTGGCTGGGTCATAAGAAAACCATAAGAAACGTGTAACGCTTTTGGCTTTGTTTTGATTTTTGATATAGTTTTGATATGATTTTCGTATGGTTTTCCTTTTCCGAAGGATGGAGGCAGGTTCCCCAAAGCCTCCTGGAAAGGCTACCAAAAGGTCAAAAAGCTCTGGAGTTGCCCAAAGGTTTGAGAAAAAACAGCAAAATCATTCCAAAACAATAACGACACCATAAAAACATACTTTACATACATGCTTCTGTCACTGGCTTGGAAGTCTTAAAAATAGCAGGAAGAACAGGATGAAGGTTTAGAGGAAAATGGTAAAACACAGAAAGGCGTCAAGAAAACGGAACCTCCAAAAATGTAGCTTACATTTATTCAAAAAATGTAACTTACATTTTTAAGGTGTCCCTAAGAAAATGTAACTTACATGTTTTAAGCCCAAAGTTGCAAAAAATGTAGCTTACATTTAGACAGGTCCCCCCCCCCTTAGGGGTGGGGATGCCGAAAGAACATGCCCACCTTGTGGAGGAGGAAGACAACATCAAGATAGAAGAACTTCGCCAGGCGCAAGCCATTGCTGGAGAAATTTTGTGGGTGGCTGTGCGCAGCCGTCTGGACCGTGCATTCGTCATTGGAGCACTGGGGAGAGCAGTGACGAAAAGACCACGTTGGGCATTACAGGCAGGATACTACATTCTGGAGTACCTGAACGCCGCTGACGAGTGCTTCCTGGCCTACGGAAGATGGAAGGAAAAGGACCGTGGCCCTGATGAGGCATTGGCTCGAGAACGGAGCATGAACCTGGTGGAGATCTACTGTGATGTGTCCTACGCCCCCCAAGGTGAAAAAAGTGTTCAAGGCATTGTGGCCATGATTGGAGGAGGAGTGGTACAATGGGAATCTTCAAGGCAGGGCTGTATGGCCTTATCGACAGCTGAAGCCGAAACTACTGGCGTACATTGAATCATCAGTGATGGGGGACAGCCTCCAGGCATTGATGACAGGGGTGTTAGGGGTGGAAGAACCACCAGCGGTGATCAGTTATGGGTACAGCCAGGCGGCGATAGCCATTATTCGGCAACCTGATGGTCCATGGCGAACACGTCACCTACGCCTTCGTTCCTACGCTTTGAGGGAGCGTTCACGCTTGGGAACCTGGCAGATTTACCATCTTGAGGGAACAAGGCTGATCGCCGACTTTCTCACAAAGGCGATTGCTGTGAAGACGGCTTGGCAGCGGCTCCGCAACTTCATCAAGATGGTGGACCTGGGAGAGAAGAACGAAAATCGAAGGTTGCGCTACGTTTAGCAAGCTGTGCTGCCTTCTCTGGGTGGCCCAACCCGATTGTCAAGGTGGCTGTGGTGGCATCACTGAGTGTCGCTTTAGCTGCAGAAGCTTTTGGGATTTTTGGTAGGAGGGGGGCCAACGCTGGGGATTCAAAACCACGTGTTTTCCAGGGTCAAACCAAACCACCAGCTGTACCTCCGGGGGCGAATCCCTAGTCGCGATCATGATCAAACCCCGACTGTGTACCCTGCGGACTAGTCTGACAAGGGAACAAACAGACCAAGAAGGGTCGAAGCAAAAAGAACAAGAAAAAAGTACAAGAAACGATCAAGAGGCCATGAATGGGGGTCGCGTCGGGCCGCACACAAGGGTCTTGGACTTCAGTGTCCCAGATTGAAGAAGACCCCAACAGTAGCCTACAGGCTCCCGAAATAGAACTAGAGGCTGCGAGCGCGCGCCTTGGCATTTGGGGACGCCTTCAATTGCGCTTTGGAAGGGCTGGCGAGACTGAGGACCAAGGCTACCAGGGCGGTGGTGCGTCGTCTTCGTCTTCGACTACCCGGCCTTCAGCGGGGCAGGAGCAAGGGATGGATGGAGGGCCACCGGTGAAATCTCCTCCCATTCTGCCAAAGTATGTACAAGGAGTGTCAGGCCCTTTGCCAAAACCTCCACCAGTGCTGCCGAAGTATGTTCAGCATGTCGCTGAAACCATCGAGGGCCTGAAGCAGGGCCACTACCCCAGAAAGAGTCCTTCACCAGAGATGATGGGGGACTGGGCGGCAAAGCAGCGGCGCGTGGGGCGGCGGCATTGGGGATTACATCCAAAAGTTCGACGTCATACCAAGGGAATGAGGTGACAACTCGGCTGGCCAGGTTGGGATCGGCGTGGCCGGAGCAATATCCTCCGTGGGTGACGGCGCCAAAACCAGGCCCTCTTCGTCCATCTGAAGGGACTCAAGACAATCCACATCGAGCCTGCCGGTCGCCTTGGGATCGGCCACATTGGCCGGCAGTCAAACGAATGGTTCGAAGGAGACACGTTGGTGATCCAACCTTCGGTGTGGTGGTCGCAAGAGCTCTTCGACAAGGTGATCGACGAGGAGGCCACGAAATTCAGGCCTGTCCCAAGAGCGGACATGTGGGACTACTTGCGCCTTCCTTTGGCTACATGGTTGGTCAGGCGACACAGCTTGAGGGTGCAGAGGTTCCATCCGGAACACAGGTCAACACCGGAAGACATCCGGGATCTGATGTACCTGAGGGTGACAGTCGCATGGCTCCTCAACCAAAGCACCATGACGTTTTCTCAGCGGCTAATCTACCTGGACGCTGAGTGGCACAAGGATGGGCTTCCTAACCTGCACGGAAAATGGTGTGGGTTCAGTTTCTTCCTGGCCAAAGACCGGGTAGTTGAGTTGACTCGCAAGGGGGAGCGCGGAACAGTTCGCACAGCTTCCAAAGCTTTTGAAACATGGCGAGACCGCCATAACAGGTTGGCTCAAGAAAACACACGCCCGCACACAGCGCTACTTCCATGCGAACAAATACTACCCTGAGTTCCTCGCGTGAAAGCCGCTTGTGGGTTGAGGAGGCGGTCCGAAAGCGCGCCTTTGGCTCCTTCAATCCGCCCAAGAACCAACGGCCCAACACCATGCCTGATGGCTTGGTCAGGCGCAGGGGTGAACCGAGGAGCTTTGAATAGGCCCCAAAGGGCGGCATTGAGCGGTCCCTGCTGGCAGTCGTTTGTCGGCGGATTCGCGAGACTCCGCGCAACACCAAACCAGGACTCGTTGAACCAGCGAACATTTGTAAGTAGCAAGATGCATCGAATTATTACCAACCGAACCTTCGGCTTGGAATATTCCAATTTCGTCGAACTTGAGGTTACTTCATTGGTACTGTAGTGGATACTACTTGGACATCCTGGATGTTAGGTCCATCAGCCAGACTTCGGGGCCCCTTCTCTTTCCTCTATGCCTCTATGACAGATCCAAGGGCTTTATCCCTTCCAACGAGATCCGCCCTTTTTTCGCCCAGGGTGACGGCTGAAGTCCAAGCGGCGGAGCGCGAGAAAGGCGAGGTGACGGCTGAAGTCCACAGTCCACCTGTGCCTCCACAGGGCACCTGTAAGGGCACACACCAAACCGATGCAGCGAGAAGCTACTAGTAGCTCCTGGCATCACTACTAGGAACAAGACGCTACTAGGTTGGAGGCCATCGCTAGAGGTTGGAGGCCATTGACTAGTAACAAGAAGCTACTATATAATAGTAACAAGGGAATCGCTACTAAGAGGGCCAGCGGACGGACCAAGAACTTGTGGGGTAGCCCCCCAGCCTCTGGGTGATGTCGCGCCGTCTATGACTCTATGGGACGAGTGTGCCTTGCTCAATTGTTAACCTTTTTCATGTGATGGAACACCTAGACATGTACAGTCAAGTTGGTGCACTGTTTACTAGTTGAAAACTACTCCGCTACCGAAGCGCGTGGATCAAAACAAGCGTGCTACCAAACATGGTAGCGGAGCACTGAAGATCCCGGGCAAAGCCCCGGGGGAGGTGCTGAAGGGGCAATAGCGCTATCGTGACGGTTAGCGGAATCCCCGGGTGCGCATGGAGGTGATTCATGGTGTTCGGACCTTGATTTACTGCTGTGTGTTGGAATTCATTTTTCTGAGATTCTTTGCGCTTTCAGAAGATTTTGAGTTGTTCATTGAACATGTACAAGATTGGTGGATTGATACAACATTGTGCATTGAATACCATACAGTACTTGCAGCATTGACAGTGGTGCAGCGGACAAGGGCATTGTTGTTGGGAGCCCAGTTAGAACGTTGCCTTGGTGTTGCGTATGCAGTTTGCATCCAACCGGAATTCAACAGCTTTAGAGCAGTTCTTGTGGTGTCTTCTTTAGTGGCCCTGTTAGTTTGCACGCTTCAGATGCGCTTGAGCCTGAGATGTCGGAAACGCAAGAAAGGATTTCAATTGAAAAAGAAGACGTCAGGGGTGAAGAAAAGGAAACGATTTGAACAGAAGCTTCAATTTCGTGGATTGAGTTTTGTCATTTTGATGAGTTGTGGCTACGGTTGCGATGCAATGGATGGTGAACAATTCAGACAATTCATGACAGGATTTGGTACCTTGTTGCAAAAGCAGGATGTCATTGTACGGGGTATCACGGAGTCCCTCGCGGCAAGCTCTTCCTCATCGACAGCCAAAGGCTTGGAGTCGGCAGCTCGGATCTTGAAATCACCAGAACAATTCGACCCTACATCCGAGACTGCATGGAACACTTGGAGGCACAGTTTTCTGAATTGGTTGAGCTACGCTGATGGAAGGTTTCTGGCATCAATACAGGACATTGATAAGTTGACGCCTTCAGATGCAGTTGAGACAGCAGATTGGTCAGATCAAGATTGGGACTTGGCTAGGAAGTTGTACAGTATACTCACAAGCTACCTATATACGTGGCTCTGCATTGCATCTTTCCCGGTCAGAAGCTGCGGACAGGAATGGGTTCGTGTTGTGGAAGAAGCTGGTGGACTACTATGCTCCAGCAACCCGCCAGAGAGCATTGTCCCTGAGCCAGGCGATTTCGTCCTTTCCTCAGTTTGTTCCAGGTGGTGACAAAACCCTGCAAAAACATGTGAGTGGTATGGAGACATTGGTACAACAGTACGATGTACTCAGTTCCAATGCTTTCGACAGAGATGTTTTGTTGGGAGTGTTACTACGGTTGTGTCCAGACAACATCAGACAGCATCTTACATTGGCAATTTCAGATTCTTCATCACACCAAGAGGTGAAAGAGCGAATTTTTGCCTACGAGAGAAGCAGTCGAATGTGGAATGTGAATGACGTCCTCAAGACGGTCGGTAAGCAGATTTCAAGTTCTTCGAAAGGAGATGCCGGTCCAGTTCCTGCGGACGTTGATGCAGTCACAAAGGGCAAAGGCTATGAGAAAGGAAAGGGAAAACAGAAAGGAAAGCAGAAAGGTGGCTGGTTCAATCAGTGGTTTTCTTCTGGTTGGAAAGGTAGTGGAAAGTCGAAAGGCAAGAGCAAAGGAAAGAGCAAGTCGAAGGGAAAGTCCAAAGGAAAGAACAAAGGAGGTGGAAAGAAAGGCAAATCGAAAGGCAAAGGAACAAGTCCGGATAGGTGCCGGATTTGCAATGGTTGGGGGCATTGGGGAAATGAATGTCCTCACAATGTCACAAGAACGATGTCAGGGAGGTTCATCAAGAACAAGTTCCCACAGGAGTGGACGCTGCCAGAGTTCCTTCTAGCGGCGCTACAGCCTACAGTTCAGTCGGAAGTACAACAGCTTCAACGACGTCCAGACAGGTGAGACGAGTTTACATGTATCATGTAGCGACACCTCCACAGGATTTCCCAGAGCATCATGCGATTTCCGAAGCCTCGTCGGTCGATGATTGGTCTACGTTGACTGGTCGTGTGAACATGGTCAAAACCTCAGAGCAGTGTGAATGTTTTGAGATGTTTGATGAGGGTGAAATTCAGACAGATGCACATCTCTTGACAGACGATTCGTTCTATCGATGGTTGTGCATGGATGAGTGTCAGGTGCCAGAAGCCCAGAGTGATTGTGATACATTTCAGGTACGAATGGTTGAGCAAACGTCACAAGAGGAAGCGCAATGGATTGTTCTTGATTCAGGAGCGGATGTTTCATTGCTTCCTTTCAGCCATGGTTCAGCAGGTGTGGATTCAGGAACACCGCATCTTCATTTGGAGGACGCTCAAGGACAGAAGTTGAGAGTTGGTGGAATGAGACAAGCAGAACTAGAGTTTGAGCATGTGTTGGAGAGAGATCAAGGTTGCAGTGTTACAGAATCGTTCATTGTCTCAGATGTGACAAACATCCTTCTTTCTTTCGGCCGCTTGTTGAAGATAGGTTGGCAGTTTGGAGAAGCATGTGGTGACGATCAAGTTTTGATCGAACAGATGGATTTAGGCCCGTGTGCGGGTGTTCTGAAAAGACCTGATGAGCAATGCAAGATCCCGGTCTACTACAGGAAGAACAGTTTGAGCATTTTGGCAAGGGTTCATCGAGTAGCTGGGAATGAGTCAACGGAGGATCAACATGAAGCACAGAGTTCGTCGGTCGGAGCAGTTCGAGGTGCATTTGTGAAGTTTGACATTGATCCTTCCACATTGCGCAACGGTTGGCAGTTTTTAGAGAAAAGTAACCCGGTACATCGATATGAAGGAACACATTTTGTTGATCCAGGAAGTGTATTGTCTCGCAGTCTGGCAATGTTTGGCGGTTCAGGACGACGATTGTGTTGGTTGGCCAGGTTTGGGAGGTCGTTGAACATTCGCAGGAGCTGTCACGGTTGGAGGATGTTGAGAGTTCGATTGAAGGCCTTTTGTTTGCAACGACGGTTTTGACATTTCCTCAACGTCATGTTGAACCGTTGAGTTGATGCTCGTGCCATCCTTTGACAGATGACCAGGTGGCTGATATCGAATTGCCAAGTGCGCCCTTGATCGAACCTTCAGGAGTAGCAGGTGGACACATTCCATTGCCAGAGTCGGTTTGGGTGAATGGAAAGGAGTTGACAGTTGAGAGCCGTGTCCGTGATTTGCAAGAAGCGTGCAATGAATTGGGTTTGAATGCAAGTGGGGCAAAGAGAAAGCTCTATGACAGGTTGGCCAAATATGTTGAGGTGCAATATCAAAAGGACATAGGTGTGGTTTCCAAGAACATTGAGCAGCAGATGCTTGGGCCTCAACCGAAGACACAAGGAAAGGCATCTGAAATGCCTTCCAATCCATTGGAAATCGGAAAGCATGAAGTGACACATCTTCCTTTCGCAAGTTGGTGTGATGTTTGTGTTCGAACCAAGTCGAGGGATGATCCAACAGTTCACAACGCAGACTTGGAGAGAGAGAGCAGACAGGAATCCCACACATTCAGCTTGATTGGATGTTTCTTGGACAGCAGTGCCCTTCGTTAGTGATGATCGGTTCGGATACAAGGTACGGTGCTGTGTGTCCTACTAGGTCAAAAGGTGTGTGGCGATGAGTGGCAGAATTGTTGTGAAGTTTTCATTGGAGTTGAATTACACGAATGAGGTTTGTTTCGTGATGGACTCAGAGCCTGCGACATTAGGACTTCTCGATATGATTGTGGCTGTGAGACAGGAGATGGGTTTCAAAGCAAGCAAGCAGCATGGCAAACCTTACCATAAGGGTAGAACAGCCAAGGTTGAGCGGTATATCCAGACCGTCAACGTCAAGCAAGCTCATTGATGGTTATTGTTGAAGACAAGATTCATGAGACATTGCCAGATCCAGCTGGCGAGAAAAGAGAAGCTGCAAATGAAGAGCCTCGTGAACGGAAGTCAGCAAGATTAGACCGTGAAGGCAGTCCTAGTTCCTCTCAGTTGTATGCCCCATTTTTCGCTGGAAAGGTAGAGATGCAGTCGCAGCAACTACATGACGATGAGTGCTGGGAGGAGGATATGGATTGGGAGATGGTGGAATTTGACATTGATGAGATTCCCATCGACTACAAAGGTGAACAACCCCTCAGAGATTCCACCAGAGGACCTCGAGCAGTTGGACGGAGAGGCCATGAACGCAGAAGTTGACAAGCTTTCAAAGCTTGGGGTAGTTAAGGTGTTGTCAATGTACATGTTGACGATGAGTTGATTGCAAGTGAGACCACCGAAGATGCATTGTGGTTGATCCAAGAGTTGAAGAAAGTTTACAAGTTGCAGATCGAAGGGCCATATCCGGTGCAGAAACTTGGAAATGGGGAGAGGTGAACTATCTCAAGAAGACATACCTCTTCAGAGAAGATGGACTCTATGTCAAACCAAATTCCAAGTATGTGGAGAGTTTGTTGGCCTTATGATTTGCATGGGAGGAAAGAAAAGCAGGTTCCAGATCACAGTCTTTTGTGTCAGGTTGATGCATCAGAGGATTTGGACGGACCGAGACAAGCAAAGTTTCGCAGTGGGCTTGGCATTGCAATGTACCTTGCACATGACAGAGTTGACATTCAATTTTGTGTCAAGACGCTTGCATCATGGATGAAGTCACCAACGGTACAGGCCGAGAAAGCGTTGATTCAGTTGATCCTATACCTGTCAGGTATAAGAGTTTTTGCTTTTCACATGCCATACAGCCAGGTTGGTACGAAGATGGTGTACAAGCTGCACAGTGTCAATGAGTACCCAGAGATTCATTGTATGGAGGTGTGCTGTGACTCAGATAGGGCCAGTGGGCCAAAGCGGCGTTCGACTACATCGGTGATGATTTTGATGAATGGTTTATTCTGTTTGTCATTCAGCCGCACTCAAAAAAGCACAGCACTTTCATCTTGTGAAGCTGAGGCACTAGCAATGACAGCAGGAGCAAGTGAGGCATTGCTTTTAAAAGCAGTTTGGACATTTATGGTGCAACAAAGCTGCGAGATTGAGATGAGATCGGATAGCAGCTCAGGTAGACAATGGTTGCAGCGAACAGGGCTTGGACGCCTCAAACATGTTGATGTCAGGCTATGTTGGTTGCAGTCAGCATTGAAGCAGAGAACATTGGATGTTTTGCCAATAGGGGCGAGATTGAATTTGTCAGACCTCAACACCAAGAAGCTAAGTCAGGCACGTCGACAATTCATTTTATACTTCCTTGGAGTTGTGAGATTGGATGATGAAGGGGAAGTGAAAGAGAGAATAGATGAGCAAGAGTATTTGCACTCTTTGGCATCCGAAATGTGGAAACAACAGGTTCAAAATGTCACGAGATGGAACAAGAACAGAACACACAAGTTGGTACAATGTGCAATGATGTTGCAAGCAATTTCATTGAAAGGTTGTGGAGAACAAGATGCACCAGAATCTGCTGAGCAGAGCGGAAACCACCAAGTGGTATTTACATTGGTCATTTTGTTGGTCCTGGGTGTTTGCAATTATTTGTATACACATTGGAACGATTCCCAGAGGCTTTGAGCAAGGCTGGGCAGAAAGAGAAAACGAGAAGAAGTTCAAGTCCCGGAACCTGAACCAGAGTTGGCTATGACAGGTGATGTGACAATGGGTGATGAGTTGAGCATTGAAGCCAATGAACAAGCAAGTTCGAGTGAGGGGCCGGTGCCACCAAAGCACCCTCCACCTCGTGGACCTCCGCCACGAGCTCCAGTGTTTTCTCCTATTCCGGTGGATCCAACACCGAGATGGGAACTATGGTCGCCGGAGTGGCTTCTATACTGGATGCTTGGAAGGGTTGAAGATCGCATGAGGCGAAGGGGTCACATGATGGATCATGATTGGCTTCGAAGGTACCACCACAGGCAACGAATTCTTCAGATGCAGTTGGGAATTTTGGAAGAGAATCACAGTGAAGGAGTTCGCCGACGAGCTCACATGATGTGTCGGGGAATGACAGATTTATCGCCCGAGTGGAACTGATCCAGGTCCAGAGATTCAAGAAGAAGAGGAGCCTGAAGGTGAAGGTGGTGAAGGTGAAAGTATAGAGACATACATCTATACAACTGGAACGGAGATGGACAATCGAACGAGACAGCGTATCGATGAACAGGATGGATATTTTACTTCGAGTACGTTGCCAGGCAGAAGTTTACAAACAAGTACAGCACAAACAACACAAGCTTATAACCATGAACCGGAGAGTGACCATAACAGTGCTGATGAAGAGACAACATCTCAGATGAGGCGCAGATATTTGCAATCCGGTTTGGATGAGGTGAGTGACCCAGAATACTGGCAACAACTACACCATTTTGACAGTGAGCCAGAGTCAGATGGTGACAGCAATACAGGTCATTGATTTCAATTTGAATGTGGAATGCATGTTTTTTTGGAGTGTTCTATGAAACCATCTGAACCATAGACACTCGGTGTTTGTGTGTGCCGTGAACCAGCTGAACCACGGTACAAAACGACATTTACTGGAACTACGATCGAATTTATTTGCAAAGCAAGTTTACAGTTTTGGTGAGCATGGATGGATGCGTGAAACCAGCTGAACCACGTATCCCAATACAGAATTGGTGAAAGTTTTTCATAGAAATAGCATTTTCATTTGATGCCAGAACGGGATGTATCTATGATACATTACAATTCAAGGCGAGAGACCGTGTCAGTGCTACCTTGAAGTGGTAGATCTCGCACAAATCGAGAGTGTACAAAAGAAGGTGATGTTGACACTTAAACACGTGTAACATCAAGGCTGGGTGTTAACTTTTTCATGTGATGGAACACCTAGACATGTACAGTCAAGTTGATGCACTGTTTACTAGTTGAAAACTACTCCGCTACCGAAGCGCGTGGATCAAAACAAGCGTGCTACCAAACATCAATACATTTGTCGGTCCGGACGCCGGTCGGCCAATGTAATTAGGACCAACGCCTTCGACAATACCCTCCATGACGTGCAACGTCGTACAGGTGTTTTGTTCCGATCAGCAAATGGTTCAATATGCTGACAACATCCGACCGCGTGGATGCAGCAGTTTCTGGATTTATCCTGTTTCAGATCCACAGCCACCGCCATGGGTACTTTTTGAAGGTTTGTGTCCTACAAAAACCACTGCTACCCATCCATACATGGTCGCCGAAGGAAGGAGGGGGATGGCTAACGTAGCGACCGTGGATTTTTTGTGTCCTGGCAGGCCAACTGTATTTTTTTTACTCAATGGTACTCAATTTAAGCCTCAAGCTAGCATGGACATTGACCATGCGCTTTCAAAGTTGCGAAGGTCACATCCGCAGCATTCGCGGGCTTTCAAAGGGGACAGAATCGATCTTTTTCATGCGCAAGCGATCATCGAACCCGACCGCCAGGGAAACCCGTTTTTGGCGTGGCAGCTTTTGTGGAATGTTTGTGTCGCCTGGTGATTGGGCACCTTCTGGTCTATGGCAACAGCTGCTTGGACCTGATGGGTGAATTCCTAATTCCAAGATGTTGGGGAAGGGCCCACATCCTTTTCTGTATTTTTCTGTCAAAGCCTGCCATCGTATCCATCCAATGTTTAGATGCTGCAGTTTGATGGGAGCAGGCCCTGACAAAGTGTTCAAAACGACCAGGTTTGTTTGCCTTTTGCCGCTTCAACGCTCGCCTCGGCTCGTGAGGCTTGCAGCAGACGATATCTCCGGAAGCCCGCGTGGTTTGGCTGGTCAGCTATTTGGTGGAGGTCCTGTGCTTTGCCCAGAATTTGGCATTGTGGTTAGCTGCATCTCAGGATCATGTAACTCAGGAATCGTGCAAACACATGAGCGAGGAATCAATTCCCCAAAGTTGCTCCTCCCCAAGGCGCCAGGGGAGGTCGACCCCACAGCACATTGCCATGCCTGACTGGCCTGGCTGGCGTAGCGCAGCCTGGCGCAAGATGCTTGAGCGCCTGCAGGATGAGGAGACCTGAAAACACCCTGAGAGAGGAATGGCCGCGGCCATGGAATGGCTGGGGTCAACGATGTGGCAAAGGGTCACAGGAACCTCCAAGGATCACTGGGAGAGGCTCCAGGCGCAAAAACAGGGACTCTGGTTGCTATGCTATCAGGCTAGTGCTCCAAAGGCACCCTAAGGGCGGCTAATATTGCTCGCCCCGCGCAACAGAGGAGACGCGTCCGGTTGCACATGGGTTGGGAGGCTGGAGTTTGCAGTTTGCTGATTCTCATGGCTCCACACAGGGTGGTCAAAGCGTTTGCCGTTAGATTCATTATATATATATATAATCAGACATGCAGCCCCATCCTTTTGTTGATGGCCTTTGCAATTCCAAAATGTACTAAAGTTAAGGTATATACTGTGGTTGTTTCGGTCAACCTTTACCTCTTCTTTCAAGCAATGCTGGAGGACTTTACCAATGCACCGCGGCCCAACGGGCAGGCACCTCCAATTGACGCAGTGCCTCGGCCTCGGACAAAAGACCTCTCTGGTGTCGCAATACTTACCATTGAGGTAAACGGATTGCAGTGGTTCGTTTGGTGGGACAATGTGGGACATGTGCCCCAAACTTAGCCCAAGCCGCCCAAAAGGTATCGCCGGACGTAGGCGCTCCCTCTTTAGATAAGAAAGCAGAACACGGGGTGAGCATGATGCATGAGCATGTTGTATCTTTGGGTCAGGGGATGTCAGGGGTCTGGTTTCCTCTTTCAATTGACTGGCAAAAAGTATCAAAGAAGAAACAGGTCAGCCTACTGACGACTGATCAAGCGGGGCGACGGACGTGTCCATGGATACCATGGTTTGTACCAGTACCCTTATGTACCCAAGGCCCCAAGGCCATTTGTTGAGCGGATGGATGGCCTGAGGATTTGTGAAGGATTCTTTGAGGTGCTATTGACTCCATTCACCCTGCGTGTTAGCTGTATCATGACTGATGCAACTGTGTAGAGACACATGTACACATTTGCACACCCACAGAGATACATCCTTGCATCGAGGACTGTAGGCCTGAAGTTCAACCCAAGAGTGCGAGTTACTGACTGTGCAAGTCAGGATCTGCGGTTCATGGACCGTTAAGGTGTTTGACCACAGCACATGCATAGAACATTCATCACACAACTTGACAGGTCATAAGAATGATGTGGTGGTTTACTTTGCACTGGTAGGGCTCACGGCCTGCAGTGTGAGAGGGCCATTGAAGACAGATGGATCCCTTCAGGACATTCTTTCTACACCATGCTGGGGTACGGACCTGGGAAAGTTGCCAGGAGGATGAGTCGACCCAGTCGGCAGACGAAGTGAAACCGCAGCGGAATAGCGAGACAGAAGATGAAGGGGAGGACTCGGCGTTCGAAGGGTCTGGATCAGATTGAAACGTCTCCATGCCTTCCACTGCCCAGCGGCAACCTTCTACCCAAAAAGGGAAATGGTAACATAACACTACTCCCGTTTGTTCCGGTTTCTCCTTGGGCATGTTCTTTCCTGCGTGCTGGTGGCTTGGAACCCCAAGCAGCGCTTGATTTCGAACAAGGTCCTTTCCGCGGGTGTCATGCTGAGAGAGTGTTGCGAGGGAACCTGGAAATCTGCTGGGCCACAATGTTCATCCCTGGTGCACGATGCTCATTGTGTCAACCAAAGACGACCAGCTTTTGGCTTTCTCAGGCTTTCTCTTTTTCGCTCAAGAAAAGAGCCACAGGCGTCATTTTCGGATGTTCGGGTGGGGGCAATCCTTGACTTGTCCGTTGCCCAAACTCGTTCCCCGGTGCCACTTCCCCAAAACACACGCAGAGAGAGGGGAGGGTTCTGAGACAAGCTGCTCGGCCATGGATGGTTTGCGGGCGGCCAGGACAGCAAATCGGAGGTGAGTCACCGAGCACTGAACCTCCCGAGCTTCGCCAAGGATGCGCCGGAGGCCACAGGGTGGCTGTTTGCTCGCCTGCTGGTGGGGAGCCCCGGCTTTGAGCATCCCGGGCAGGTGGGGTTGGAGGTCATGCTGTTCCAGTTGAGGTGTGAAGATGGAAGAGGGTGGATGTGGGAAGTGTGGGAAGTGTGGGTGCCAGACATGCAAATCAATTTTGTACAGGATGAGACCGGGAAGCTCGTAAATCATATATATCTTCACCCCAACGGTGGTGCCGAAGATTTTGAACCCAACAAGCAAATCTGGCAACTTCTGCTGCACAGGACACCCCAGTGGCTAATCCTGTGCAGATTGGCGCCAAACGTGCGAAACGTGGAACGATACGGACGTCTATTCAGTCTATTCAATACGATCTTCCATGGTGAGGATTTCAGGGCACACCGGTTGTGCTTTGTGCATGATTGTGCATGCCAGGTGGTGCACAAAGATCAGTTTTCTTTATTTTCATTTTTGACTCACAACCCGAATGAACAAAGACTGATTGCATTTTCAGGTCTGCCCTTTTGACCTGAGTGCCAAGAAGAAGCGGGCCTCAGAGAAGGTCCGCCGCACCAACTCGGAGTACTTCTAATCGGATCGTGCACGCTCGGACGCGAGAACGTCGGGTGATCGAAGTCTCCGAGACCCTAGTAGCGTTCTTGCTCCTAGTAGCGATGCCCTTTGCTCCTAGTAGCGTTCTTGTTCCTAGCAGTAACGCCAGGAGCCCCTAGTAGCGTCCTTGCGTACTCTGAAAAAAAGGTTCGACCAGCCTGGGGTTGAGCGATTCAGCAAGTGCCCTTGAGAGAGGCTTCCTCGAGGTGTGTCAACATCTAGTCATCGATCAAGCCAAACCAATGAACAGATGTTTGTCTTGAGGCGCGAAGATTGCACAACTCTTTTTTTATTTGGGACACCTGACTCCGCTCTACATTTTGTTATTTAATGTTATATATTTAAACGCTCAGCGTTTGGCTTGAACCATGCTGCGCAGCGTTGGAGGCCTGACAATTATCGCCCATCATCACTTCAATGCAAGACACATAGCATGAGGACCACCATTGCCACTATATTATAGAACTTGTCCGACCTGTCCCCTCTTTCGATTGGAGCACTTCCTATCATCCAATTTTCTAGATGACCAAGTGACGTTTTTCAGGCTCATTCCATTCGGCCGCGGGCAGCCATGGTGGGCACCCTGCCGGCGGGCCAGTGGGAACCCCATGAGAGAGCGAACATGGACGCTGACCATTCGGGAATGGTTTCACTTGTCAAGTGAAGTGCGGGGGCAATATGGGGCAATCGAAATCTAAATGTGCACTAGCGATCATAGGCGTTCTATGTCTTTGCTGCCCATATGCGTTTGGGATGTTCTTGTGTTATTCACACCCTGGCGAGTTGGGCTTGTGCTCGCAGTGTTGTAAGGAAGGACCCCCTCGCACTTAAAGCCTTGTGCCACCACTGCAAACTTGCCTCGTGCACAACCATTGCAGGGACAAAATCATAAGCGCCACTATAGCTGACGGGGCCTTGATCAACAACCGTACATACAGCCCACCGTTACCTACCTGCCTACCTACCTACCTCCCTGCCTGCCTGCCTGCCTGCCTCCCTACCTCCATCTTTGCATGCACGGTTCATGACTGCGACGTCTCTCACATCTGCAGAACTCTCAGCTTTTCATAGCTTTTCACTTTCAGACCTTCTCCAGCAGCTTTCTTTTTTGCACTGTTTATTTTAAGAAACTATGGCTATGACTCATCACGAAGCGTGCCAAACACCCCATGCACAATGCAACACCAAACAACAGGTTCTGACGGCTCGTTACATAGATTGTACAAAACATAGCATGGCCCAGACTGTGGCACCAAGGCTTGTTTTGTTTGCCAGATGTGAGTATAGCGAACCCAGACAATCACAGATCCCTTGTTCCAGTCGTGGCTTGGGTCGGCGTTTGGCTAATTCGCTGCTATTTACAGTACGTTCATGCCTCTCACTCACTCACTCACTCACTCACTCATGCACTCACGCACTCACGCACTCACGCACTCACGCACTCACTCACTCACTCACTCACTCTCTCACTCACTCACTCTCTCACTCACTCACTCACTCACTCACTCACTCACGCTCTCACGCGTTCACTACCATCACCACCATCACCTCTCTGGATCCAAATGTGTCTAGATCTCTAGCACTCTAGCCCTTCTGCTGCCACATCTCTATGCCTCACACACACACACTGTTTGGGGTCTCTTGCCGGGATAGTTTTTGTTTCTACCTTAGGCCCACATCTCGTGGCACTGCTGAACCTTCGGTGGCTCGACGGCGGGTAGGCCCAGGCCGGACCGGCGTAGGCATGGCAGATTGAAAAGTAATTTGCAAAGCTGCTTGTCGATGACAGGTCGTGACGTGACCAACTGACTCGTTCACTTGGTCGAAGTCTTTACTTCGTTTCTGCCAGCCAAGCACCCAGCAGTAGGGGGTGAGTCAACACGTAGCGCGCGCTAGACTTTGGCACGTCGTCCTTAAAACTCGAGGATCGTCCGGAGCCTCGGCATTTCGGAACTTGGCCTTTGGTGCATGCACCGTGGGGCTGGGATGAAAGATGATGGAAGACCGTTTCCCTTTTGGACCACTGGGAGCATCCAAGGTAATGTCTTCAAGGTAATGTCGACATCATATTAATCAACGGCCCCCCCCCCTAGAAGGTCAACAAGGTCAACAAGGTCTGAGATTGGAGGTTTTGGAGATCACATCCCCCTAATAGTGGGGATGTCCTGATGATGAAAGGGAATTAGTATTTGGAAGAATGGGAATGAAAGGGAACTAGTATATGAAAGGGAATTAGTATTTGGAAGAATTGGAAGGAAAGGGAATTAGTATTTGGAAGAATTGGAATGAAAGGGAATTAGTATTTGGAAGCACTGGAATGAAAGGGAATTAGTATTTGGAAGAATTGGAATGAAGGGGAATTAGTATTTGGAAGAGCTGGGATGGAATGATGAGATCCATGAGGGCCCAAATACTAATTCCCTTCCATCATGAGGCCCATGAGAGCTCATCATGGATGGGGTTGACTAATAGGGGGGGGTACACCACTATTAGAGGGGGGTAGGGGGTGTATTGGGGGTACCCTTTCTGAGCTTCTCAAATTGCAGATTTTGATAGATTTTCAATAAGGGAAAATGAACGAATTTTCCTAGAGAGTTTTGGAAATTCTAGGAAAATTGTTGCTTTGGGAGAGCATTGGTAATCAATCAGAAGATCAGTTTCACCATGGCAAGACAAGAAAATATTGAAAAGGCAAAAAGCACAAAACTAATTAAACACACACACACATATATATATATTTATTTAAGTAATTATATTTTTCCTGGTGGGACAGGGGGTAGACTAATAGGGGTGGTTTCAGCCAAGCAAATTTTTTATTAGAGGGTGGTGACTGTGGAAATTCATAGTTCAAATTAGTTTATTATTGGGGCCTGAACGCTGGGTAGACTAATAGGGGGTTTGGCTAATCTGATGTTGACATTAATCGTTTAGCTGGGCCAACCTCTTTGTTGTTGCTGGTCCTCGTTGTGTTCACGACAAAGAATTTTCCAAGGGTCGGGAAAAGGCAATTGGAAATGTATCAGGCTTCCAATTTGTTTTTTCCTGGGCCCGGGAAAAAGCAAAAGGCTCAGACTTCCAATTTGCTTTTTCCCAGGCCGGGAAAAAGCAAAATGGTTCAGACTTCCAATTTGCTTTTTCTCGGGCAGACTTCCAATTTGCTTTTTCCCGGGCCGGCAAAAAGCAAAATTTGGTCCAGACTTCCAATTTGCCTTTTCCCGGGCCTGGAAAAAGCAAAAGGCTCAGACTTCCAATTTGCTTTTTGCCAGGCTCAGACATCCAATTTGCTTTTTCCCGGGCCGGGAAAAAGCAAAATGGTTCAGACTTCCAATTTGCTTTTTTCCGCGCCGGGAGAAAGCAAAATGGTTCAGACTTCCAATTTGCTTTTTACCGGGCCGGGAAAAAGCAAAAGGCTCAGAGTTCCAATTTGCTTTTTCCCGGGCCGGGAAAAAGCAAAATGGTTCAGACATCCAATTTGTGGAAAAAGCAAAAGGCTCAGACTTCCAATTTGCTTTTTCCCGGGCCGGGAAAAAGCAAAATGGTTCAGACATCCAATTTGCTTTTTCCCGGGCCTGGAAAAAGCAAAAGGCTCAGACTTCCAATTTGCTTTTTCCCAGGCCGGGAAAAAGGAAAATGTATCAGCCATCCAATTTGGAAAGCAATCTGCCCCCGGCCTGGAAACAAGCAGCGCCTGTGAGGCTTGAGCCCACAACCTTCTGCTTATGAGCCTGGCGCCTTGTCCATTAGGCCACAGCTCTCTGAAAAAATTGTTTTTTTGAGGCTTTCCAAAAGCAAACTGGATGTCAAATTTGCTTTTCCGGCTCAAACTTCCAATTTGCTTTTTCCCGGGCCTGGAAAAAGCAAATTGGAAGTCTGACCAATTTGCTTTTTTTCCCAAGTCTGAACCTTGTTTTGTCCTGGCCCGGAAAAAGCAAAATGGAAGTCTGAGCCATTTTGCTTTTTCTCGGCCCGGGAAAAAGCAAATTCGAAGTCTGAACCATTTTGCTTTTTCCCGGCCCGGGAACAAGCAAATTGGAAGTCTGAGCAAATTGGGCTGACTGAGCCGTCTCTTGTTCATGGAGGGTTGCGCCCAACCAAAAACATACCAACATGAAAATATCTTGGTTGGCTGGCTTCCTGTTCCTCAGCAATCAATGTGTCAGTGATCAGAGGACAAGACGTGCCTCTAGCCCCAACGACAAACCATTTTCGCCGACAGTGGTAAAACCCCACGCGCGAAAGCTTGCGAAAGCTTCGCGAAGGTCCTGCGAAAGGCCTGGAAAAAATGAAAGGTCTTTTGAACAACCCCTATATATATATATATATATGGATCTATATACCTATTTGCAGCCAAATATCAGCATCTATTTCAGCCGGCTCCCCTAAGATTGCACCGCCTGTGCCATTGCGTGTCCTGCTGCCCTCTGCCTCAGTGGCCTACGAAGCGCTGCTGCTGCCCAGCACGGCTGTCAAGGAGCTCCTTATGAAAATGTGCGAAGCCAGGGTTTTTGGCCAGTGGTTTCGTTTTTCCGTGGTCTTTGGAAACCAACAGCTGTCACCCACCACACAACTTGGGTCGCTTCAGCCAAGTCTCCAGGATAACTTCTACTGATCCGCAATCGGGGCCTTGGGAAGCCTACGTTAAAGGTGAAAGTGGTGTTTCTAGGAGGAAGGCTTGTGGGTAAGACGACGCTGTGCTCGACCTTCCTCGTTGGACAGTTTGTGAGCGCCTGTGAGCGTACCATTGGTATCCATTGGTCCTGACTTGAATTTTGTGAGCGTCACGACCGCCGACCTCAGGGAAGGTGGAAGTTTGGGGCGTTTCTGGGATGTGACGTGGGTTGATCCTTCCTGCCTCACAGGGGCAGGTGTCGTCGTGTGTGTCTTCAGCCAGAAAGAGCTAGAAAGCTTGCGTGAGGCAGAGAGGATGCTGAGAGCGGCCGGTCAGGTGTACAGGCATGGTGGTGTGATGCTTGGTGGGCAAACACGGAGATGCAGAAAACCTGGAAGTGCCAGAAGGCGAGGCCGCCAGACTGGCAGAAGGTATGAAGTGTTCATATTTTGAATTCCTGCAAGGCACAGGCTGGTGTTGATGCAGCTTGTGGAAGCTGCTTAAGCCAACATTTGGACCTCCATGCTGATGCTTGGCCTGGCGAGATTGAGGCGGCAGCAGGCACTGCAAATCCAGATGCAGAGAATAAGAAGTGTTGTTCGTGTTGTTCCTGCCAGATCATGTGAGTCATTGCGAGTCTTTTCGAGCAACCCAAGGCTTGAGCACGAATTTGTGCCTGGGTCTCGCATGTACAGCCCATGAGACAGCGATAGGCGATAGGCCACCGAAAGAGTGGAGAAAAGGTCCCAGCTTAGGTGAAATGTTTGTGTGAAGTTTGATGCTGGTTTCTCAATTGCCTTATATATATATATACCTAAAATATTGACACTGTATAGCACACACATATATCTATATCGAAACAAAATTACATACATAAAAACATGTTGTCAAGTTGTTCAAGATGCACCGGTGAAAACCTTTGCAGGTCCATCCTTTTTCTTGCAAGCATCCAAGCATGGGGACAGGACAGCCATGAGAAGAAAATGGAAGAAACATATTTTTTCTTCCGGCTACTACAGTAAACTAGTATAAACTAGTGAGAAATAGAACATGCAAATATACCTACTTTTTCTTCAGAACTTTTAAAACTTTTCAGGACCCCCCCTGGCCTCGACATTCTAGATGAAAGGGAGTCGAGCGAACTTCCACCTTTCTTTGGGGGTAACCAGGTAACCCCTTCCCCCTCAGGCCTTCGCAGCGACTGAGGCTCTGGCCAGGGCCGGGCTCCCCAGAGTCGCGTGGTTCGCCCCGCGCCGATCGAAGCAGGGCCCGGCCCGTTGGCGAAGTCCCGCTGCGGTTGAGGAGGTTTCTTCAGCTTCAGATGCCGCCATCTTCAGCCGTCTCATCATGAGCCATGCCATCCTGACTTGAACCTGTCTCTATCAGGATGGCTTTGGTCACCCCGGACTGGAGACGTTGCTGAACCACGGGCCCTGTCAGCAGAGACCTACCGAAGGCAGGGCAGGTCGAGACAGGAGGGTCAAGCACTGGCCCCCAGTGTAAGATAAGACATGCAGCCTAAAAACTGAGACGAATGTAGCGGACCATTGCCCCGACATTGGTATGGTCCAGAAACATGACGCATTAAAACCATTTAAAGTTCATCAAGTGCACTGCATATAAAAAACACACAGAACCCGCAGCTGATAAGACCGTTTCCTTCTTCCAGGGTTGACTCGTTGGGCATTTTTCTTCGGTAGGCGAAGCGTGTGGGACCTCTTCGGCGAGCAGGGCGCTCCGTTGACCCCACGGGGGCAGAGGAGGATGAACTTGGCGAACCAGGACGTGTGAACTCGGCGAAGCGAACGAAGGAACGAACGCGTTGAGAAACCGCCATCGGGGGATTCTTTGGGGATGAAATAGGCCCAGGCAAAGAGAAGGGCGAAAGAAGGGTGAAACACATCCAATTCATGTCATGACAATGCTGTGTATAGTGGAGCATGCGATGTCCATGTTTCCGGAGTTCGTGCAGCTTTGTGTTGAGTCCTGTCTGACAGGCCAAGGGAGAGGCACCAGCCTGGTGCGACGGCCCGGCTGAATTGCACAGGATCAAAGGTGAAGTGCCCTCACCTTTCGAAAGGTATATAGAACATCTGAACGCTCGAAAGGAGTTGGACGGATCTAATCTAGTCACAGTTACCAGAGTTTGTTTCATCTAGAGAACCTTTGAATGTGGGCCAGTCTTTTAGCCAGATAACTTCAGATAAGACAGCGACCTTAACCGTGCAAGCACCCGACCCGGCATTTTCATATATTTTCTGATCTGGAAAGGCCTGGTTTTCTCTCCCTCCCTCAGCGCCACTCGGGGATTTCAGATTCCATGCGGCTTCCCGGAGGTGCGTCCTTCGAGAGCACCGAAAATCCCAGGAGTAGCTTCTTGTTACCAGTCGTATATAATATATAATGGTCTCCAACTTTGTTTGTATGTACAGCGCATATATACTCCGCTAGAGTACTGCAGACACGTGACTCATTACGTTTTTTGGCTCAAGGGAGAAAAGGCGTTCCGAAACGTCGAAACTTTATTTTCATGGTAGCGCGTGAGCCCGGTGAAAGCGAAAGGGACGCTGCGCATCAAGGAGGAGAGACATAGCAAGGTAGAGACCTCCGAGGAGGAGGATCAGGAAATCCCGGGAGCGGCCGATTCGGCCGCCCCGAGTGGAAAGGAAGAAAAAGAGGAGGAGCCTTTGCCAGCCACATCAGCGGCAGAATCGGCCGCGAGCACCACTCCGGCGGTTGTAGGAACTGCCGAAACAACATCAGCGGTTGAAGGGACCGCGGAAACAAAAGAAGAAGAGACCACAAAAGAGACAGAAGGAGGAGAAGAAGAGAAGCCGGAACAAGACCCCACAGTAGAGCCAGAGGCTGAAGCGGCTGATCCAGCCGCACAGCCTTCATCTGGCCGAGTGATCGCCGACTTCATCACATCCCCAGAAGGTGTCAAAACAGGTTGGGAGGTCCGTGGCATTCACACCAAATACACTGAAGCCAAGGTTGATCCCAAAGCGCCTTGGAGGGTGAAGAAGAATATTTGGGGACAGGTCAAGAAGCATCCAGAGCCACAGTCCGGATTCCGACTTCGAAGCAAGACCTCGCTTCAGTACCGGAGGCTCAAAGACCTGGTCAGGCTGCAGAAGGAGAAGGATGTCATCACAGAAGATCTGAGGAGGCGCATCAAAGAGTTCGGAAAAGGGCGCACTCCACAAGAGATCAAAGAAGAGCGGGAAGAGCAGAGGGTCCGCAATCAAGAGAAGCGGACCAAGAAAAGGAAGACCTCAGAAGCGGCTGATCCAGCCGAGGAGGAGGAGGTCGAAGAAGAAGAGTCGGTGAGCCATCCAAGTCCGGCTCGACAGCCTCGAACACCGGACGGGCCACCGCCGGCTAAGCGACCGCAAACCCGCGACACCGAGCGGGGACGGGCGGTCTGGGGGCGTGCGCTGGAGTTGAACCTCCGCATCGTCACCCTAGCCAACGAGCGGGCCCAGCGATTGACGATAGAAAATTGGAAATTAGAGAGCCCGTTCCAAGTGCGAAAGCTTGCGGCCGACGAACTTGTCGAGCAACGAGGCCTCAAGGGTACCGTTGCATTGGCCGCCATTCGCGAACTCTGGAAGACCCCCAACGACCAGGGAAAGAGAGGATCCAACGAGGCTTGTAGTTCTTGTGACGAACGACGGCAGGCACAGTTGCCCGTGGTTCAGGACTACATCAAGCGGCGTGGTCTTAAGGGACCTGCCCGCCTCGGATCGACCGCCAAGACAAAGGCGGCACCAAAAGTGAGCCTGACACCTGGGCCGAAAGAGAAGGCCAAATCGAAGGCCGGACCAAAAGGAAAGGCCAAACCGTCAGCCGCACCAAAAGTAGCGGCTAAAGCGAAGGCCACAACTGTGGGTCGTCGCCCGGAAGAACTCACGCGGACTACTGTTGAAGTCCGTGGAGTGCCAAAACCTTCCGATCCTTGACCGGGCGAACCGCCCGCGACTGTGCCGCTGGAAAAGGAGCGAGCGGCGGCAGCAGCAGGGCTGAGAGTAGGAAACCATGGAACAGCAGGTCCAACAGCTGAGGGATATGGTACTTCAACTCCAACAGAACCAAACGAGGTTGGAGCAAGAGAATCAAGTGTTGAGGGAGTCTCAAGGCGGGGTGACAATGCTAGCCTCAGCCGTAGGAGAATTGGCTAAAAGCCTTGAGAAGAAAGAAGATAGGAGAAAGTCCCAAATCCTTATGGACACCAAAGGGTTGGGACGCCCCGAGAGTTTTGGGAATGTTGAAGGGGATTTTCGAAAATGGGCCAGGAGCATTGATAACCTGTTCATAACTACTTTTGGGAGAGAGTTCATTGAAGTCCTGGAGTATATTTTGGAACAGGAAGACGCGATTGAATTGAGGGCTATGGAGTCCGCGTTTGGGACTGGAACCATAGCAGCTATGGATGACCTAGAAGATAAAGCTGATCAAATTCATCGCGTGCTCCTGACCCTAACCTCAGGTGAAACAGAAGATTTGATGGTAGGAGCTTCAAATGGGTTTGAAGCATATCGGCGAGTTCACCGCCGTTGGGATCCCCGAACCTCGGGACGGAAACGCAATATACTTCGAGCGATTCTCCAACCGGAGAGAGTCAAGACATGGGCCGCGGTGAGGCCAGCGATCGAACAGCTCGAAGAGCTCATCAGGCGGTACGAGTCTCGGAGGAGTGCCGCAGGGACCAGGGAGACCCTATCGGACGACATCAAGTCCGCTTCATTGGAGATGCTGGTACCCCCATATTTGGAGAAACATCTTTTGTTGAACAAGAGTAGATTGACAACCTATTCGTTGATCAAACAGGAGATTGAACTTGTCATTGAAACATCCCTCACATCAAAGTCATCTGTTCCAAAACCAGGTTCATCAAGTTCGAGTTATCAAGGACCTCAACCCATGGACGTCGATTCGATCGGACAATGGATTGCAAGCCTGGTCAAAGGAAAAGGTAAAGGAAAAGGTAAGCAGGCCAAAGGCGATGGAAAGAAAGGCTCAAGCAAAGGGGGCTCAAGTAAAGGCTCAAACCCGGCTCAAGATATCACCTGCTATAATTGCGGTAAGAAGGGACACCGAGCGGCCGATTGCTGGAGCAAGAAACGGCCGGATGGAAAAGGCGATAAGTGGTCAGGTTCAGGCAAAGGAGACAAGAGTGGTAAAGGTGGCAAAGGCAATAAAGGCAAAGGTGGACGAAGCGGCAAAGGTAAAGCCGCAGGAAGTATGGAAGAGATGGACGATCCGGATGATGGCGTTGAGCCAGCTCCGGAGGCTGATGTCGGAATGCTCATGGCAGACTTGAGTGGAATTGGAATGGCGGACACCTCATCCGCCGAAGAATGGATGAAGTTTAACCTGGACACTGGAGCAGCCCAGACAGCCATCCCGAATGGCTGGGAGGACCGAGTGGTTGTCAGTGAAGGCAACGGAGTTGTATTCAAGACTGCATCAGGAGAGTTGGTGCCCAGTCAGGGCATTGGAACCTTTGAGGGGTTCGACGAGAGCGGCAACAAATGCCGTGTGAAAGGTTCAATGGCTGATGTTCACAAGCCATTGATTTCAGCGTCCAAGTGCTTAGGCTTTGGAAGGATTGCAGTTCTTGATGCAAATGGCGGAAACTTGATTCCGCAAGGGTCCAAAGTTGGAAAGGCTGTCCAGGCGATCCTGGAGAAAGCGAACACTGCAGAGCAGCGGAGTTGGATCCCTGTGTATCAAGAGCAGGGAGTGTACAACTTCCACTTGAGAAAGCCAGGGTATAAACCGACAAAGGAATGCTGTGGCATCGCAGAGTTGAACGCCACAGGAGAAAGAGGAGATGCCTCTATGGATTCAGGCCGACCTGGTCCAGAGGGGCGAGAAGAGGATGATGAGTTGGAATTAGTTGATGAGGTTGAGAAACCCATCCAGATAAGAGCTCCGGAGGACCCAACTCCGGCTGAGATCGAAGAGCACGAGGCGACAGGCCATGTGCAGTATCGAAGTTGGTGCCGGCATTGCATTGCTGGACGGGCTGTGGGACAGCCACATCGGACGAGGTCCGAGGAAGAGAAGGCCAAGAGCCTTGTGCCCACAGTGGCAATGGACTACACGTTCATGTCACGGGGCGGTGTGGAGGACGAGCGAGTGAAGCCGATCCTCGTAGTAAAGGATGAGAGGACACAGTCCTTAGCGGCGACCTTCGTGGACTCGAAGGCTCAAGTCGGATGGTGAGCCATCCGTGGTAGCCTTGAAAGAGGCAGCGGCGAAAGAAACCGGCATAGACTGGGTTTCGGAAGAGTCGCCAGTAGGAGACCATCAGGCAAATGGTCTGGCGGAGAACGCCTGCAAGGAGATCAAGCGTCAAGTACGAGTTCTCCGCAGCGCGTTGGAAAAGAAGCTCGGCAAAGAGCTCAAAGATGATGATCCTGCATTGGCATGGCTGCCAAGGCAGGCGGGAGACCTGTTGAGCAGGTACAAGAAAGGTCAAGATGGCAGAACGCCTGAGGCCAGAAGATGCGGAAAGCAATGGCGGAAACCTGCCATAGCTTTTGGTGAACGCCTATACTTTAGAGAAGTAGGCGAGGGAGTTCGCATCCTGAAAGAAGGACGCTATGTAGGGCACCACGGCCGAACAGGATCCATTTTGGTGATGACGGCCGATGGCGTGCGCAGAGGCACGGGAATCCGGCGGCTGAGTTCAGCCGACCGCTGGGACCCAAGTGATTGGGACCTTTTGCGGGGCTTACCGTGGGAACATTCCGCGGCAAGGCCTGCCGGTGAGCAGCTGATGCTCGAAGAGCGCCTTGTGGTACCACCTCCCAAGGAGGAACGAGTGGCACCACCACAGCAGAGGCGAGTGTACATCAGGAGAGAAGATGTGCACAAGCATGGAGCCACAGAAGGCTGCCCAGGATGCAGGTGCATCTTGGAAGACAAGAGAACGACCTTGCCGCACACAGAGGCGTGCAGAGCAAGGATCACCGAAGCGATGGAAAAGGATGAAGCTGGGCAAGCGAGACTTGAAGCCCATGCAAAGAAGAGAAAGGAAAGGCAACAGCTTGACACTGTGAAGCCGAAAGTCGTGGCCGACAAGGACACTGACATCCCGGCCGAAGACGCGGCCGGAGAGCCAGAGAAGAAAGAAGAAGCAAAGAGCGCAGGGTCGGGAAGCCCGCCGCCAACAGCGGCAGAGGGTGAGAAAACCTATCCCGATGACCCAAAAGAGAGATATGAGATGAAGAGGCAAGCAGCAGAGATAGAGAAGAAGCCAGTGGCAAAAGCCAAGGTAGCAACAGAGCCCAAGAAGAGAACAGGAGAGCTCAGGATAGATCCACCTGGGCCAAAGGTCAAGCCGAATCCAGCCCAAGGAACAAAGAGGACAGCAGAGACCGCCGTAGAAGACCTTGATCCCAGAGTGGAAGAGAGTCCAAAGAAAACGTCTCAGTTTTCACATGTTCCAGAAACACCACCAGCAGGGTGGAAGCCAGATGCAGCCAGCTTGGTAAAAGAGAAGGAGATCGCAAAGCAGCATCTGAAGAAGATCATTCAAGGAACCTATGAGGCAAATGGCATCGCTATCTCTGAGCAACAGATCGGAGACATCGCTCATTTGAGCATGCAGATGTCAGCAGTAGATATCATGGAGATCTACTCGCCCAAAAGGTTCACTGCGCTTGCAGAGCGCTACAAGTTGCGACCGGGTTTTGCGGTCGACTTGAATGAAATGAAAAGTGACGGAACATACTGGGACTTGAACAAGTCCGAAGATGTTCAAGAGGTGCATGACATCCTTGAGAAGGACGAACCGGCGCTTTTGACTGGTTCGCCACCGTGCCATATGTTCTCACAGCTCCAGAACCTCAACTGGAGAAGCGTGGCACCGGATGTCCGGAGGAGGAAAATGGACGAAGCCGTCCACCACCTTCATACGAGCGTAGAGCTGTATGCCAAGCAGCATCGCTCAGGAAGAAAATTCCTCCACGAGGCACCTTGGTCCGCAACTAGTTGGAAGGATGAGAAAGTTGCGGCCTTAGCAAAGGAAGATGGAGTGTTCATAGTGAAGGGTCCAATGTGCAGGTGGCAGATGATGGCCACCGACCGAAGAGGACTCCAAGGCACCGGCTATGTGAGAAAGGAGACCGGTTGGATGACCAACGATGAAGGGTTGGCCAGAGTATTGCAAGGAGTCTGCTCGAATGAATCGGGCAAAGGACCATGGCACCGACACATCCATCTGATCGGAGGCATTGCTAGGCAGGCAGCGGTATACCCGCCGCAGCTCGTGAAAGCAGTGCTGAGGAGCCTGCGTGACACACTAGCTGAGAAAGGTGAGTTGAACACCTTTGATCTGTTTGCAGCAGGCCCAGTTCCAGAGATGCCTCTGATGGAACCTGAGTTCGAAGAAGTCTACATGGATGATGTGAACGGCGGCATTTTGCCAGCCGAGAAAGTGAAAGAGGCAAGACGCCTTGAAATGGATTATTTGAAAGAAAAGCATGGTGTTTATGTGCCCCGGCCGAGAGCCGAATGTTTTGAGGAAACGGGGAAGCCCCCGATTCCAGTCAGATGGTTGGACACCAACAAGGGAGATCCAACAAACCCGAACTATAGGAGCCGATTAGTTGTGCGTGAGATAAAGGCAAGAAAGACCAAAGAAGAACAATTGCCAGCCAACTTGCTTTTCAGCAGCACGCCCCCATTGGAGGCGATGAGACTGCTGTGCTCGTTGTGGGCAACAAAGAGGAAGTCCTGCCACAACCAGCCGCTGAAGCTGGGCTTGTGGGACATCTCACGAGCACACTTTTATGGAACTCCGAAGAGAAAGATCTACATAGAGCTGCCGCCTGAGGACGAAGCCAGCAAAGATGGGCAAACCTGTGGACTTCTTGTGACGTCGATGTATGGAACACAGGACGCTCCAAATATCTGGCAGACGCACTACACAGAGACTCTGCAGAAGGCTGGTTTCCGCAGAGGCTTGTCAAATGCGTCAGTCTTCTACCAAGAAGCTTGGGACGTCAGAGTGATGGTGCATGGAGATGACTTCCTAGCGCTTGGAGACGCCCAACACTTGGAGAAGCTCAGCCAAGTCCTCAAAGATGCCTATGAGCTGAAATGTCTCGGAATTCTTGGAGACGAGGATGGACACCGAACAGAAGCCCATTTTCTGAATCGGTTGATCCGAGTCGAAAAGAAGAACGGTAAAGGATCGATTGTGATCGAAGCCGATCGGAGACACGTTGATCTTTTGATCCAGGCATTTGGCCTGGAAAAGGCAAATGGTGTGGAATCACCAGATGTCAAGAAGTCGGCAGATCAGCAGATGCTGGAAAGCCGCAGTCCGCTGCTTGACAAGAGCGAGGCATCGAAGTATCGTTCAGCAACGATGCGTGCTGCGTACTTGTCCCAAGATCGACTTGATATTGGGCGCGCAGTCAAGAACCTTGCTCGAGGTATGGTATCACCAACAGAAGCCAAACTTGCTGACTTGAAGCGTCTCATCAGGTACTTGAAGAAATACCCTGATGTTGGGCAATGTTTTGGCTCACAACAGACACCCTCAAGGCTGAGGGTGCAGGTCGATGCCGACCATGGTGGTGACGCTGTGACGCGCAAAAGCACGACTGGCATGGTTGCTATGTACGGCATGCACGTGTTGAAACACAGTAGTAACATCCAATCCACTGTAGCCCTTTCTACAGGTGAGAGTGAATACTACGCACTTGTGAAGGGAGGATCTGTGGGCTTAGGCCTCCAAAGCCTATGCGCAGACCTTGGTTTGGATTTGGGAGTCACCATCGAAGGCGATTCCAATGCAGCCAAAGGAACTGTGAATAGAGTGGGTTTGGGTAAAGCCAGACACATCCAGACTCGCTACCTATGGTTGCAAGAAAGGGTCGCCGAGGGCCACTTGAAAGTGCACCACGTTCCAGGTGTCAAGAACAAAGCCGATGTGTTGACCAAATCGGTACCTGGGGTGCAGCTTCGCAAAACCATGGAGGACCTGCAATATGCATTTCTCAGCAAGCGAAGCAAAGGACAGTTAGATGTTTTGGAGTAAGGTCCCTGGCCAAGCTCCACTACCACAACTGAAAGTGGCTAAGCAGCGAAGAGTTTCACATGTTTCCTTTTAAGCTTGCGCAGCAGTACAGTGCTTTGCAAGAGGAGGAGTGTTTGTATGTACAGCCCATATATACTCCGCTAGAGTACTGCAGACACGTGACTCATGACGTGTTTTGGCTCAAGGGAGAAAAGGCGTTCCGAAACGTCGAAACTTTATTTTCAAATTTAGTAGCTTCTAGCTACATTCTAGTAGCGAACAAAGACCCCATTCCAACATGATGCTCTCAAATTCAGCGCTTTGTGGAGCAACTTCCCATCAGTCCCATTCCAACATGAGATAAACAATGTTCACGCACACACAGTTTTGCAACATGTTGCAAAGTCCTTCTCAATGCGGACAGTCATGGACACGCTTGGACCATGGTCACCACGGTGACCATGAGCATAAAATTTTCAATAACCGATGCAACTCGTAGGGAGTGAGGGTGGCCAGATCCCAAGAAAAACTAGTGGAATCTCTTTGGAGCCGAACTTTCCTCATTCACTATGACATCGGAACGGTTTATATATAGTTTTGATGTCTCGCTGGGACCACTGGCTCAAAGTGGGAGAGGGCCCGGCGGGCTGCTGGCCGCGGGTGGCGCCATATCCATGGCGCTTCAGGCGATCCCGTCATGTTCAGACAAAGGACCAAGCTCTCAAAGAAGCTCTCCTGACAGACCGAAGCAGCCAGGCCTCCTCGCCCGGCCGACCTGGCAGATGCTGAGAAAGGCGGGTTGTTACCGCCATTGACCGCGGGTTGGACTCGCGCCGCGTGCGCTCGGGGCAGGTCATGGCGAACAAAGCTCCTTTGGTGAAGGTGCAGGCGTGTGAAATGTTCGTGCTGAAATCATTTGCTTCATTAATTCCATGTTTTGCAGTTGCCATGGTGCATTCCAAGAGTTTGCATGCGTGTCATGGGTGAGTTCAATTTACTGTAGTTGAAGCATTTCAATTTGATTTTGCATGTGCAGGCCGAGAAGCGTTCCAGTGAGACTGGGGGTGGTCAGCTGCCGAAAGAGTTGCCGTTTCAGTGACTGAGCTAAAATTGATTTGAAACCTTTCGATGGATTGATTGACGATGAAAGGGTGACAGGTGCACACCTGAACACATTTTCTTGCGCACGGCATCTCTGAAGGCTGAAGGCGCACTTGCCGCTAGTGGCATGGGAAGGGCCACTTGCCTGAAAAAGTGCTGCAAATCGAACAGGCTGACTGCTGCAGTGGTTCTTCGATGTTGTCCAGAGCTCACTTGGCCTTTAGCCCCCTGTCCCTCCCCAAAGAATCCCAAACAAGGCAACCAGCATCTTATCTGAACACGACTCATGCGTCTCAGATATGATAAGATATCCCCCTGCAAAACCAAGACCCAACTGCATGTTGTTAAAGCATTGAGATGATTTGGGACGCTGTTCTCCCATCGGCAGGGGCAGGTCTCACCGGCTTTCCAGCAGTGACAAGCCTGCCCCACGGGGTTGCTGTATTGTTCATTTCTTCTCCATGGATCTCCATCGGCTATCAAGAGGGGAGGGACCCTCACCTCCTAGATGCAATTTTCTGGCCTAAATATTGTGTTCAAGCGACATGACATGCCCACTTTTTTGTAGCTTTTGCTTTAAAAGGTTGACCCTTCAGCCCCATTGAGGGTACGAGCATGATGGGCTGGAGCAGGTTCCGTCTATGAACCGCATCGTATGTCAACGGACCTCCTTTTCCTGGTCGTGATGCACCGGTTCCGCCGTGCCCCGCCGTTCGGAGGTTCCGCGAGGCCATGAACCAAGCGCTGAAGCGCGAGAAGCTCACGCGGCAGCGGCTCCGGAGCACCCGCGGCCACTCCGCCGATGTGGACAACGCGACGGCGCGACAGTGCTGTGGGCGTCCCATGTTTTCTCATTTCATAGTTGTTTTTATGAGGTCATCAGCTCATCTCAACAAACATCTCAACAGACCTGATTTTTAAATAATATATCATAAACACAGTCACTATTCATACAATTCATAATTCTTCATAAAACATGTTTAGTTTTTTTGTTATTCTATTTTGTTCACGACAAACCCCCCCCAAAAAAAACAAATGATTCATGGAACATATAGATTTGAAGATTGTCCTCTGAATAAATATCATATATAATATAACTGGGTGCAGATCACATGGGATTTAGAAAACATACATGGGCACTCACACATTCCCAAGTCATCTGCCTTACCCTCCTGCTGTTAAATCCCATGTCATCAAGCAAAAGAACCAAAAAGAAGATAATGCAAAGCGTCTCCAGATTGCCGACGCAACCCAATACAAGAGTCGGTAAGTCCTAAGTCGTGTGAAAAACGTGTGGGTACCAAACCGTTAGGTGAGTACAGGCAGAGCAGGATGAGATGGGAGTTGTGACACTCATGCATGCTCCCAACAGCACAAAAAGCGTTTTCCCGATTTACCAAAAATCTTAAATGTTAAGAAATGTCCTCAAAACTCTTGAAACATCAAGGAAAGACAGGAGCTGAAGGAATTAGAGCAGGAAAATAACTAAGAATTAAACATTAACTAGCTACTTCTTAGTTTTTCACATGACTTAGGACTTACCGACTCTATTCCTTGTGTCACTTGACGCCATAACTCCCATGTGATTTGTACCCAGTTTATGTATATATATGATATGGTATTTTTTTGACAAAGATGCTTTTGGATCAGATGCTTGTCAGATGACCGGGCGCCAAAATTTGTACAACAAAAACATGTTTATGAATAATTTTGGTAAATATTTGCAACGCCAAGATTGATGATATTATGATGATATTATTGTTAAATAATATATTAACCTCACAGCAGACTAAAGTTGATACAATCAAGTTTAGGCTGGACAAAATGCATTATTTTTTTCTCTCTCCTGTAGTTCTTCTACTTCTTCTATCAGTTCTTTTAAACATTTTGCTAATACAATATTGTTTAATGATATTTCAGTGTTAATTTCATCATTACCTACTTTACAATTCTTTGGTTTGTTGATGTACGCATTTTCTTTTCTTTCTGCCTGTTTCAATCATATTTACCATTTGTGTATATTATGTTTACTTTGTATCTTTAACTTTCTGATGCTTTGGCTTTAGGTTTGCTTTTGGTGCCTTATCCTTACCTTTGCGTTTTTGGTCAGCTATTTCATTTTCAAGTTTATCTATTCTTTCAATGTTTTGCTCTTGGACTGTTTCCCTTAAGGCTGCTGTCATTCTACCATAATTGACGCTTTTGTATTCATTGTCAGAATTAACTATGTTTTCCATGTCGGGCGGTATGGTTTCTTCAATCTCATCAGCAATATATTATGTTTCTTTTTGTCTCCTTTCATGTAGCATTTCCTTACCTTAATCTTGTTCACTAACTCACTGCATCCTGTTTCAACATTTTCTATTTGCGCTTCTAATCTTTTGTCGGTCGTCTCTGTAAGTGCTACACAAGTAATGTTTTATCCAGAAACAACATCAACATTGATCTTAAAAACTCTAGACATATAACTGACATCATCCTTGTCGTAATAAGCACGGGTTGTTCCATTCTGTTGCAATAACATATTAAAATCACCATTAGTATTGTAGGTATTACATTTTGTAGGTTGTTTTGCTTCAGCAAGGGTAGGATATATTAATAACATAGTAGCATCTGCCCCTGCTCCTAAAATTGTAATAGGACTATTGACGGTGCTATCATTCCATATTCTTAATACATTGGATGTTGTTTTTAGCATTGAAAGCAAACCAGGCAACAACATACACTAAAACTGAAGTTCATACAGCGCTGACAGCAAAAGCAAATCTAGCAAATCCTGCATTCACTGCAACTGCTGTCAATACAGTAGGTTTAACATGAAATGCCGTAAATACAACTCAGTTTAATGCGACAAACTTACAGCAGATACAACTTGGACGCACAATATCACAGAGTATATGAGGTGTGCCTTTACCAATTCAACCCTAGAAATGAAACAGGAACTACAAATAGAAAACGTTTTTAACACAAATACTATTGATAGTTTAATAACTAATGCAAATTGAGTGATGTCTAGAAATGGTGTTGAGTATATGCAATTTCAGGCATCCCCTGACATAAACTTATTGAATAACATATTACAACCAAATAACGGAAGAGGTAAAAGTAAGTTATTTGAGGGAGTTGAAGGGGGTTGAATGTATGGAGGATTTGAAACCTTGATGAAACAAACCCATATATTATTATTGACTCTACTAGTTCCAGCATTACAATGTCCCCTGCCAGTGTGGATATATAAACTCAATTGAATTGTAATATACTGAATAGCAGTGGTGATAACGATATTTCATTTAGAAGAAACGGAGTTGAATATTTTACATTGGATAGTGCTAATAGTATTGTTAATGTAGCAAATTCCATGAGTATCAACAGGTGATTTATATGCAAACAATATCAGGAGAAGGTCATTAGAAAATGATACCGTTTTTTTGGTGCTAATTCTGATGGTGTAAGTTCAGAGGTTGAATATATGAGATATGACCAAACATTGTTTCAGGTATTGCTTTTTCTGGTTATATATTTATAATGCTACAGATAATGCAAATCTGCTAATACAAAGGAACGGAGTAGATTACATAACCCTAACTACATTAGATACAATTGATTTAGAGAAGCTAACATAAATATACAAAAGCAAATGGTTTAGCGCTAACCATTGAAGATACTGTACATGGATACTTTGAAATTGGTGATGGTAAAAGTATTGACTGTTGGACTACTGGAGGAGTAGGTCAAGAGATGCAGTTAGAACTATATTTCTAAAAGCGGTGTAAGGATTGGCAAAACTACTAGTTATTTAGCAATCAAAGGATTAAGGAATGGAACAGATATACTAACTATCAATGGTGCTATTCAAATATTTCCTGCGGATCGAGAGGGTGGGGCCCGGGTGGGCCCCAGCAAGGGGGGTCGGCAAAAAAAAAAGAAGCTATTTATGTAGTGTTTTTTTTAAATAAATATTTTTCGGCCGACCCGACCCCCCCCCAAACTTGATAGTCTTAGTTGTATTTCATGTTTTTTTGAATACAATTTTATTGTTTTGTTTGAAATATAGAATGCAAATTTTGTTTTCCTATATGTCTTGAACAGATGTGTCGTTTAATAATTGTTTACTAATTAGTTTGTTGTGCAATGTGTTTTTGATACTGTGTTTGTTTTGCTGACTGAATGTCTGTGTTTTCACTATATCTTTAGTTATTTAAAATCACAATTTTATCGTGTTTTCGGGACGCCCGTGGTCCCCTGTTCTGTTATTTTTGTTGGGGGGGGAGGGGCCATACCGTGTCGAGCCGAAGCGCGACGGGGGAAGCTAAGAGATGGATTGAGGGTAGAATTAAATTCTTATTGTTACTACTAGGAAGGCACTTGTTTCTAATAGCGATGCACTTGTTACTGGCAAGTCTTCCGAACTGAGCATTTTTTGCCTCTTCCAAACCGCTCCGAGAAGCAAGCCTCCAAGGCATCCCGACCTTGTTGGGCATCACTTCGTTGGTGAGCTCCTGCGTTGCCATGGCACCTCAGAGAGGAGAGGGTTCAACCCATATCCGAGGTCACACAAGACACCAAGAACACGGTATTGGCAAGCGAACCCCACCATCTATTACTGGTTCAACCTGGCTTTGTATGGCTTTCTGCACTTCTTATGGAAACTGAGGTGACTGGCTTGGGAGGGAAATCCACAAGGTTTATGATTATAGATATGGTTCAGTCCCAGTAGGTTTTGGCGTTTGTGACATGTGCGACCACTCACGAGGAAAAATACCCAAGCAGGACATAGCAGCACGTCAATTGAGCAAACCTACCAAATCCTCAATACAGGGAGGAACTGACTGCTTCTCACTCTGTTCTTGGAATGACCAGAGCCAAGCTCCGGGGGAGAGATTGCTTGATTTGGCACATAAGCGCGCGGCCCGCTATGCCCCATGCCCAGAGCACCATAGTACAGGGCGTTCCTCCTTTATGGGTTTTCTTCGGCGTTCCATCAACGATCACTAATGGAATTCCAAAGGCCTTCTTATGCCTTCGTGCAAACTCTCCCAGCTATGGCTGCTCAAAAAGCGGTATATATAGATACTGCGGAAACTTCCTAGTGACTGGACTGCGCGGCAAATCATGTTGTCACCTTTTGTTTTTCAGCCATGTTGGAGATCAAGACGCCCAGGTCCTTCTGCATGTCCTGCAGATTGATGCGGCGTTGGGTGTGGGATTGTTGGCTGTACCGCCTGCCTTGGCGCTCTTCGGTTGGACTGTCATGTGGATTCTGCTGATGTGCCTTGGTGGCGCTACAAGTTGCAGATTTATACAGACCCCAGAAGAAGAAGCAGAATCAGAAGTAGAAGAAGAAGAAGAAACACCTGGACCCAGTTTTGTACTTATATACCCCACCACGAGAGTACCCCCCACTTTGTAGGGGAAGAGACATGGAGTCCTCCAGACCTTTTTTGGGTAATTTTTCTTTGGAGTGGCATTTCATGTTTTTGACCTTTCCTTTCTGACTTTCAATGCAGCCAAGGAGGGCTTTAGACCCACGCTAGCCCAGCCCTCCGGACTCCCGTACGCCCGCTACGCCCCACGCGAGCCATGCCCAGGAAGCATTGGCGCAAGCATCAGAGATTATTGCAAGACATCATGGGTCAGGACCTTGGACAAACATGGCCATACGGCCAGGATGTTCGGGGTTGAATGTAGTTACTAATTCATGGAGAGGAGTTGTTCAATAAAGTTCCCAACTAGTTTCCCAACTGTTAGATCTATGCCTATGCCCTCCAAATTGACGAATCATGGTACCTATATACTTCGTTCTACCACCCCAAAAACCGCTCCAGATCGCTCCAGTATTTCTACATAATAAGATGTCACAGCTGTGCCCTCCGGCAACCATGAGCACATATAATATGAAGACCATATCATCTCTTCGAAGCATACCTCCAGCAGATTCAAGTTTCTAATGTTGTATAATTCACGTGATACAACAGTCATCATAATTCACCGTGTGCTTTCTTTCATTTCTTTCAATTCGCCGAGGCTGCCTGAGGACTTGTTGCGAGGAGCTCAGCCGAGAGCACCGGGCCTTGGCGGTCAACCTGGTGACGCGCACAGAGGAGGGACAGCGCTCGCTGGCGCGAGTAACGCTTTGAGGCGATGGCCGACAACATCAAAAACATTGGGCTTAGGGTGCGGCACCAGCGAGCACATATATATATATAATGGAGCGAAATTTGGACCGTTGAAATCTTCTATCGTCCAGCTGTGTCCCACTACAATTGCAGTGTGACATGTTCTTTCACTTTTAGTTTAGTTATATAATAAGCTGCCGTGATGATCCGTGATGTACAATGACACGTTTCGGGCCACCCCAAAGCTGGAAGCTGGTATGCATTGGTGATGTTTGCAGTTGGGATTGCCGGTGCCAAAGAGGTGGGGCTCAGTGAGGCGCCTTTTTTGGGGGTCCTGGTGCGCTACGGCGTTACGGGCTGGAAGGCTGGACGTCACGCGTTGGCGTGTGCTCTTGAAAGGCGCAACTTAGATTTACAACTACCTTGAGAATAACATTTGTAAATATAAGGTTAGTTGAGTATAAGAGCTGTAGGTTAGTCGAGGTTGTTCACAACTACCTGTTTATTACCGTTTAAACTACCTTTAGATTTGTTGATGTTTGTTGGGTATAAGCTTTGCCCTGGCCCTTCGTCAGGAGACAGCGGCCATGGACTGGTTGGGGCGGGCGACGTGCAAGTCTAAGGACCTTTTCTTCAGGGGGTTGGGGTCATAGACACGTGTGGTCCCAGTCAATCCTCAGTGTGCTAGTTAAGCAAACTGTGATTCTTTTGAAACTTTTGGATCTTTTGGTGCTAGTCTAGTACGGACAGACGGATTAGCCACTTGGCAGGATGGACATCCTGTTAGCACTGGATCCGAATGCTGAGAGAACACACATTTACCGTTTACCTTTTGGATGCAGGATGTTTTTTGCGTGGACTTCCGCATCATCAACGAAGACTTTGGAAATGAATTGAGGTGCGACTGAAGGGTGGCAGAACCTCAACCCTCAGTTTGGATGGGTGGCTCAGTTCATGCTTCAGGGCTGCAATTGGGAATTGGGACATCCTTGGCTGTCACTCAACGATTCTTCCAAGCATGCATGACCGGCCCATGACTGGTCAGCTGTACTTCAGTACTCGTAGCCTATTGAATTAGGCAGGAATTGCAACAAATACTTTTTGGCCCGAGATCTGAGTTTGTCAATGTTATAAACATCTACGTACACCTTACACATTGTAAAAAAAGTTACTGTATGTAACAACTACGAATTTTGTACTGCTGCTGCATGTGTGCAGAGCACTCAGACTTGTCCCTATAGTATAGCAATATGCTAAGCGGCTACTTCTGGCCAGACGCAGAGCTCTGGGGTTCAGGAGCCTTCCGAAGCAGCGTGCTTTGGATGCAGAGGAGAGCACACGTCCACCCAGTGGGAAGAGTGAGGGCTCAAGCCTTCCAGCTGAGCAGCGAGGTGCGGGGGAAGATCATTGGGGTACTGGGCAAATGGGGCTTCCAAACATGCAGTGCAAGATGTCCAGCGCAGATCACCCAGTATCTACTGTAATTACAATAATTGTAGGTACCCGTATATATGTTGGTCAAAGCCACTTGTATACAGACGTGATTATTTTTTGCTTTTGTTTTCGCATGACAGCGGGGCATAGCGGGCGTGGGATGAAGATCCATGTGGCCAAATGAGCATTTGCACAATACATTCTGTGTGTTCTCAGGGGCCAAGTTTCCCGGAGGCCATTGACCTAATTGGCCTAAATCCGTTGGACGACATGAAGAGTCTGAGTAGATAACGCATGAGTCCAATTGAAGCAAAGACCAGAGACCTTTTGGATCCTTTTGGTGCAAGGCGTCGTTGCAATTGGTTCTCTGAAGCCAGTCAGCAAAGCAAATCCATGGATTGGCTTCACGTGCATGATTTGCTGGTGCGAAGCTGGCGCAGGTGGCGCCGAGCTTCGCACATTGGCGACTCTGGCGCCGGACGAGCAGCTGCAGCTGCGGCCCGTGTCGGCTGGGGGGCTTTGATGTCTGAGAGGAGGTTGGCAGGCTTTGGTTTGCTTGGGTCCTTCATGGTCCCTTCATCGCCCTTCCGCCAGTAGAGGACTTGAAGAACCTTGGTTTCGATTGAATTTGGTGCGGAGGGAATTACAGGGTTTGACATGTTTTGAATTGTTTTGATCTCTTGACCCCACATCCCATGGAGAAACCTTCTGAGGCTCCTGACACAGAGGCTGGGCAGTGCTGTTGGAGTTTGGGTGGCAAGGGGTGGCAAGTGAAACGCATCTCCCAACCGCCTTCCAGTCGTAAGCTAGGCCGTGGTGTCAGCAGTAGATTGCCAGAGTATGTGCCACTCCTTGAGTCGGAGAATCGTTCCAAAAAATCAAATTTCTGCCTCGATCTTCGAGAGGAACATTTTTCGGCAGTCTTCTTGAACCTCTTGACTTGCCTTTGTTCCCATTGCCTTCCTATGATAGTCCCGAAAAGTTAGAAGGACCACAGCACAGATTGTGTCAGGGTGCTTGGTAGCTTGTTCACCTGCTCCCTCAGCGCTACTGCGCAATCCCCGATGTGGCAGGACTTTCGAGTGCCCGCGGCCGCGGGTTCTGGCTCCAACTGGACCACGGCATCAGCACAGGGACTCGGTTGTTTGCCGTGTTTGGAAGAAAGACTGAGCCCGCCCACAGCTGGGTAAGGGAGTCGTTGGTGTCATGTCGCATTTGCAGAATGGCACGCTGCCTGCGGTGAGCAAATCTCTCTCTCTATATATATATACAAAGATTGTCCCGCCTGTGCTGAGGGCAACTCCAGAGCAAGCCGGGAGGCGCGCACAGAATGGTAGAGATCTGGCTGTGGCATATGAGGTTGACCAGCCTGGAATAAGCAAAAATGGCTTTGGACGCATTTCCGACATGTGGCCCAAGTTCATCATTGTTGCATGGCAGGCCTGGACGTAGACAAGTACTGAATGACCGACTTTTGGCCTGGCTCCGGCATCGGCTCCCGTAGTTCTTTTGTCGTCAGTCAAAGATCAGCCACTGCCTTGCGCGAAGAGAGGCTGCTGCGCCGCAATTGCATGACAGATTTACGTTCCAAAGGAATGTGAATAGCAGACCGCACTGCGCTGATCAAAAAGCTACTCAAACTATCGCTATCCATTCTTGTTGCTAGCATGAAGATCGGCATCCCATACCGGGAGCCGTGTCCCTTATTTGTTGTGAGGCATGCTTCTATTTCGTGAGAAGTGTAAAAAAGAATAAGGAATCAATCCTTAACATTTAACATCCCTGGCTTTGTTAGACGTGTTGCACCTTGGCCGGTGTGTGACTTGAACTCCCGGCCTCCTCACCGCGGCTCGGCTTAGTGGCGCACCCCTCCGGGCGCGAGGAGCGGCGCGGAGCGGGGGGTGCCATGGGCAAAAAGCGGCGCCGCGATGAGGAGGACGAAGCCGAGGGCGGTAGCCTGGGCGGCCTGGGCGCCCGGTCCTGGATTCTTTCCCGCTTGCGCACGTTTGGTTTGCTTTGTTTGCAAGCGGCTACCGTGTGGAGGTGGGGAGCGCACAAGAGCATTCAAAAGCATTCAAAAGGCACCAAAAAAAACAATCAATACGCATTGGAGCCCAAGATCATCTAAGACTCAGACGTCTCTCAGCGTAAGGGTCTGCCGAGGACAGGAAGTTGAACAGCCAAAAGAAGCTGATGTAGGTGGGGAAGCCTCGGGATGAACTGGGAGTGACTTCGTGAGAGTTTCCAACGTCCAATGGTGGATGGAAGATATGAAGAGTGTTGAGTCTGTGAAAGAATGCACCTAATTTTGTGAGACTCGTGTTAACATGTTTGGCACTATTATGAAGGGTATGCGCATTGCCAAAACACTGGAAATTCAACGCACTCCATGCTTTGGCAGCATGTATGGAGGTGGTCTTCCGTGCTTCTTCATGACATGAAGTGGCTTACCAGCCGCTGGTTACCAGCCCCAAAAATAAGAATCTTGCATACATTGACAGACCACACGGAAATCATTTTCTTGGAGAGTTTGGCAGCCGGCAGGTGGCTGCTTTCTAGGGCGCGGGCAGGACTTGATCGGATGCCACCATAGACATGGAGTCTAGGAAAGGAGGGCAGGTTGGTTTGCCCACGGTGGCGCAACTTCTGCAAGGTGGAGCCAAGAAGAACAAAAAAGGAGCCAATGCCTCAGCCAGGTGTAGAAGCACGGGGGCCAGCCAACACTATCCAGAAGCAAGGGTTCCTGACCCCAGTCAAGAAAGTGAAGCTTCCTGCGCAGCAAGGGCTGGGAACCCGAACATGTCCTCAACTCGGCGGCCTCGGGTCCGCAATTCGGAAGGGACGGTTGTGAGATCGCCCGGTCTCGCCGAGGTGGTGCACGTGCAGGATTTGCGGGATGAAGAGCTGCAGGAGGGTCCCACCAAGCGTTCGGTGTGCATCAGTCCGCCGCAGTCCATAGAGTCAGATACGATCAGCTAACAAGCAACAACAACGACAACAACAAGGACAAGGGTGTCGGCTCCAGGGCCACCGTTAATTTGTTTGTCATTTCTGGGAAGCAGGTTTTGCTGAAACACAGTCCAGGTTCAAGGTTTCAAGCGCGTTTGCAAGTGTGGAATTCTCGGGTTTGTATATTGATTATATTATATTGGACACATCTTTAGTTGCTACTGCTTTTGCAGCGCCCAGGCAGGGTATATAAAGTATTCTTTTGTTCGACTTGTTTCTCCAAACAGGTTTACCTGTATGACCTGTATATATGGGGTTCTTACTCCTTTTTAAAGGGTTGCATGCCTGGGCCGGATGATTTTGGCACTGTCTCCGGCTTTCGTTCCTCGGCTGATGTTTTCTTTGCCTACCCTGGGTACACTCGGCTAGATGTTTTTACACTTGGCTCCACTTGTCTCCTTGTTTGTCTCCTTGCTTGGATGGATGCCCTTGGCCGGATTCCTCTGGACGCACTTGGCCAAAAAGTTGTTACACTCGTCTCCACTTCTCTCCCTGCTTGTCAACTTTAGCTGTGGTGGTAACAGCCCTGGCGACTGTAACAGTATCGCTGCTATTGAATGTAGCTAGTGACTAGTGGTCGTTCAAACTCTAAAGGGAAGTTCGGGGCCCAAGCCTTCGGAGTCCGAGCGCTCGGAACCCAAAGGATTTTCCGGGGCCCGACTGGTACACCCAGAGCATGAATGAACACTTTGGCAAAATGGCACCAATATAGTGGCAGTAGTAGTGGTATAGGAGTAATTGCTGCCTGCGGGCCGTAGTGGCGGCCCAAACTCTGAAGCGAAGTTCGGGGCCCGAATCTTCAGCGCCCAAGCGCGTTGAGGCCGGAGCGTTCGGGGCCCGAACCTTGTGAATTTCCGGGGCCAGGCTAGCACGCCGCATGAAATGGAACTCAATTTAGATCAATTTAGCTAAATTCAAAAGCCATGAAACATAGGTTCATGGAACATATGTACGGTATGTGCGCGGTTGGGTTCGGGTAGTCGTACGTTCAGTGTGCGCGGTGGGTTGCGCAATGCGTGCGTACAGTGTGCGCGGTGGGTTGCGCAATGCGTACGTACAGTGTGCGCGGTGGGTTGCGCAATGCGTACGTACAGTATGCGCGGTGGGGTGCGCAATGCGTACATGCAGTGTGCGCGGTGGGGCGCGCAATGCGTACATACAGTGTGCGCGGTGGGGCGGACAATGTGTACACACAGTGTGCATGGTGGAGCACACAATTGACAATGCTCTTGTAGTAGTGTAGACATACCATACAAATTTAATCATATAGTGTGCAAATGTGTGCAGGTGCCTGTTGCTTTATGTTTAGTTTCTTGCATCTTGCAAACTGCATTTGGAGTCTTGTGTCTGGAGTTCTTTTGTTGGTTTGTTACTTTTCGAAGCTGAAGGTCAATCAAGGTCTCATTGAAATGAGCCATGAATTCCAAAAAATAGTTGAGGACTTCCTAGCATTCACGGTCTTCTTCTCACCATTTGATTTTTTCCGGTCCTAAAACTAAACTAAACACTGTCTTCTTCTTAGTCTTCTTCGACTAGCAGCTTGACTTGCTCGCCTTCGCACCACCATTCATGCAAACTTGAATAGCGGAGAGGCACAAACAAGAGACAAGAGTTGAAAGTCAAGAGTCTAGCATGTCTCTAGCTGCCAAGGTTGAACATATTCATATCATATCGAATCAAACCAATTATATTGGTACCTGTATACAACTACTCACCAACCAGATCCACAACCCAAAAGACATCTTGTCTTCACTTCAATCATCAATTAGAAATTGTTAACAGCCAATGAATGACAAGTAGTTGCAACTTTACTGTAACTCAACTGCAGCTCCCGAACTGTCGACGTTTGTTTTCAGTTTTCATTGAACTGTCGATGGCCAATCCTGATGGAATTGTCCGCCAAGCGGCTTCTGATCGCGAGCCTCGGATCAGAGCCAGAGCCTTCCTCAAAAAATGCAACTCGCTTGGCTATTAGTGGGTTGCGTGAGATTTGATTGAACGAGTCAAGTTAGGTTTGAAGACGTCAGGAGTGATTCATGGTCATTCAATAATTGAGTCCAGGCATTTGTGGAATCCAGCAGCACTGCAGTTTGTTTTGGCCCAAGCAATAGTTTGACTTTGCTTTGCTTGTTTTTCACTGTTCAGTGTCGGCAAATCATGACGGAAGGCTACCCTGCTCCTGGCAACCCTGCCAAGTACGAGCTTGTGGAAGCCCAAACTCCAAGCCCAATCAGAGAGTTGAAGGGGGAAGTCTCGACGCCGCAGACTGAAACAAGAACACGGTGGGTCAAGAAGGTTTTGAAAGATGGGGGCATCCCATCACCAATGCCAATGCGACTGCCACAGCCATCTTCATCGAGCCAACGGGCTACTACTCCATTGGTTGCTGAGCAGAAGTCTGGTCCCGCAAATCTGGTTTGGAGTTTGTTGACTCCTAAGCGCTGCAATCATGCAGACACGGAGACAGGTCACAAAACACCTGATGCGCCAAAGCGCTCAAAGAAAAGATTCCAGACACAAGATGGAGCCTTTCAGGATCCAGATTTCACCACGCCTCCTTGCAAGCGTCGCAGCCGCAGCTGTGTGAGTAGCTAGAGTGGTTGATGTCAGATGGAATGACAGCATCATGGCATGTTGGAGCTGCTCTACTTTACAAGAGTAGCGATAGCAGTTTGCAGGCCAGCTATCAGCTTGCTTGAGTCCCATTTTGCAGTTCCACTCTGTTTATGTTTTCTGAGGTGTCTCTTCAAATTCTTGGGCACTTCCAAGATTTCTACCAAATTCTGTTTCTGCGGGATGCTAGTTGGCGGCGACAATCCCAGTTTCAATTTCATGATCATTCAAATTCAATAGACTTGGACTTCATTAGCGTCCAACCAAATTTGGCTTTGTGCAGCCTGGCATCTTGAACCTAGATGTCAAGCACTGTGGGTAGCACTCAGCTAAAATGAGAGCTTGGTAATGGGGCAAAGGAGGATGGTCGCTGAAGCAAAACAAACGCTTCAGCTGAAGGTACAACTTGAAAACTCTAGACTCTAGAGACAACACTGTAGAGTCTTTAGAGTTAGAGCCACAATCTTATCTGAAGATCGAACCGTGAGTGACATAGTCCTGTAATGTAGGCAAGTCATAGGGTTCACAGCAATCACTTTTTTTGACAAATACAAATACAAACAAATTGCAAGATGAGTTCCTGTGATGTTGAGGCAGGCAGCTAGCTCATGCTCGGCGGGACGCTGACAAGAAACTGAGCCGGTTCAGGACTGGGTTGAGAAGCTGGGGACAGAGTCAATAAAGTAGTCACGGTTCAAGAGTAAGGTTCAGCTGAAATAAGGATGTTTTTGATTTTTGAGTCAGAGTCATGAGTCATGAGTTTTACTGAAGTAAGAAGCAGGAAGAGCGTATGTTTTTTGATGGCCTGATTTAAGGCCACAGGATCTAAGATATTACCTCAACAGTCAACCATTCATTTCTCAGATGCTATGTTATGCAATTATGAAATGAAATGAGATTTATGATTTATTATTGATGATTCATTATTCATATATGATTCATTCTATATTCTATATTCTATATCAAAATCTGCTTGTCAGGTCCGTGGTGGAGGAGTATGTGGAAAATCACGCTGTGCGACAGAAGGATGCTGCTTGGGCGCTTGGCAAGCAGAAGCATAGGTCGCTCAAGAGTGGGGTCAAGGGCAAAGGGAAGTGGAAGACATGGACGACGCAAAGCTTGCTACGGGCTTCGTTGCTTGATGACTGGATGCATTCTTTTGTATAACTATTTACTATTTACTATTTAAATTTACATCTATATTCTATGTGCTATATACCGGTTTAGCTTCAACTGCAAAGAACATTGGCCAGCCAGTAGTTCTCAGAATGTCGATGTTGATGCTAGGCTCGAACCCAAATCTCTGAAACGCAAACAATATACTTGAATACCTGTGCACATGGCCTAGGTTTGGGAAGGCTATACAAGTCAGTGCCATTACCCACAGACCTTCAAAACTGCAGCAGAAGTCTCCAACTGCATTTTCATTGAAATCCTTGGCGTTTTGGCTGTCTGCCAGCACTACACACATAGCGGCGGCGCTTTGGTATCACGTTGGCCGTCAGAGTATAGCATTCGGTATTGCATTGATAGATAGGCCACTTCAGTATTTTTGAGCGTTGACAAATCCAATTGATCCATTGGGCAACCGTCACTTGCTTCCGTGTCTGGCTGCTAGCTTAAGGACTTATGACCTATGCTAGTTTTGAGTCTTGAGTGTGTTTTAATTGTTGGCAGCACCAAACACAAGAATCCAGTAAGCTGAAACCGCACCAAGGTAAGATCTACAGTGTGTGAATTGGCCTCTACAAGGATCACCGAAGGCTGCAAACGACTGCAATCAGTTTGGGCCTTGTTGGAAGCAGGGAGTTGCAGAAATGAAATGAAATGAGATGTGATGTTTGCTCTTTTCAGTCTTGTGCTGTGTGTTTGACTGAGACATGATTCAACTTGATTCAACTGATTCAACTAAAGCACTCAATGACATGAGCATTCATTGGAGGCGTAGCACTGGTATGGTTCTTATCTTATCTTCTTGAGGTGAAGCCCTTTGTGGCAGCGGTGGGGCTGGAATTTGACGCGTCTGGATTCAAGATTCGTGTTCGGAAAGGCATGGTGCAAACTGATGCAAAGTGCTACGTGCTAGTTGCTCTCCAGCATATAGGCTTGAACTGAACACTCGCAAAGTATGATAATGACTCCACTGTAAACTGAAAACACTGATGATGACACTGATGACACCATAATCTATTCTGGGCTTTGTTTATAAAGCAAGCTAAATATGTCATCTCTCAACAGCCACTTAGGGTCAGCATTGGTGAGGCCCACCTACATCAACATTAGAATCA